CTGGGTTTTAGCTCAAACCCAGGACAGCAGGACACTACGCTGAGACAAGCACATGCTGCACCCAAACTGCTGAAATTCATCAGCTTTGGAAGAATTTGAACAGTCGAATTCCACTCCCTCAAATGGAAATATTCCAACCTGCCACACTTTGTGCCTTGCAGGGACAGAAATCACTGCTTCTCCCTGGGAGGGGAGGAGATTCCCTCCCGCTGCAGTTTTCTGGGGGAAGGAGCGTGACAAACAGGTTTGCGTTGCGCTTCCGTAAGACAATTATTTTTCTACTTAGGTACCTACAGTGAATTTTATTACTCCCCATCAGGTTCGCCAATTACAGGTTTAAAATTTCAGGCTCAATTAACACACAGACTGGCTGACGCTGTTTTCTGCAACTAATTATCTCTAAGTGCCAAGACACGATTCCACACAATACTTCTGTGAACTTCAGGATTTGCTTCCTACACCATTATTTAAGTATAAACATAATGGAGCAGACAGCAGTGCCTAAAGCAGGCTGGATACCGTTATTATGACCTTTTTACTAACCAAAAAAATATGCTTACGCTATCAGAAATGCAGACCTTCTAATTAGCGCAGTAACGGGACAGATAACGGGGCCGCTTATTTACGAGGCGCTCTCTCATCTAAGATGCACACCTTGTTCTGTCCTGGGTGATCTTTGTACCGAGAAGGCTGCTTGGGTCAAATAACAGCACAAAAAGTTTTCGCTAGGTAATCCAGTCGCAGTCTGTTATCCCACTGCTTGTCTTTGGGAATTTGGAGTAAAAAAAGAGAAAAAGAAGTTGAAAAGAATCAGGTTTCACTTGCCAACATCCTCAAGCAACTATATGCTCATCCTTCACACACAATGTTGTGCCTCCAAACACAACGATAAAGGCACATTTTCTGTCAAGTTGCTGTCTTTTACACAAACCAGTCTTGCACTGATTTCTACACCTAGAAAGGCAAAATTGCCACCCTGCACCCTGCCCTTGCAGGAAGGAGCTGCTGTCTTCGGGAGCTCAGTCTCTTCTGTTACCAGCAAACAGTTAACAGAGCACTGTGCAAGTACAGGGATGATGACAGTCAATTTTTTTTTCTTTTTCAGTTTCCACAGCTATGAAACAGGCTGTTTCATAAATGTCGTAGGTTCAAATTTAAAAAAGTGCTTTAAAATCTCTGAACATCTTATTTGAATCAGCTGCAAAAGAAAGAGTTCCCCCATCTCCTTCTTTTTATTATATGGGATTAACTTTACTCAACGTTCCTTGATAAAAAACCAACTTTGCCACCACCAAAGCCTCCGAGAAGGAATCCTATTCATTCTACAAAAGAAGCTTTTCACAGAGGCAGCAGGAACCTCAAAAATCAGTCTACAGCACCACACCTTAGTGTTGATTTATTTGAAAATTAACTGTAGTCACAAAGCTGCTCCAGACCTCCCCTGACCAGCTCCCAAAAGCAAGCTTGTTACCGCGGTCTCTGTGGCTTGTGGAGGAAATAAGGTAGGAATGACAGAAGGATTAATCAAATTAACTACCTCAAGAAAGCGCCAGAGAAGACCCTGCGCCCCAGGCCAGGGAGCGTTCAGCTGGGACAGGACCAGGGACCTTCCCAGGCTTTGGGGGAAGGCAAAGGGGCTGAGGCTTCCAGGAGCGTTCAGCTCCCACCCATTCCAAGTGCAACGATTACGGGGAGGGATCTCACTCTTCCCCGGCGTGTCGCATGTAAATTTTAAATCATTCAGGAAACATGCTGTACGTGTCTGTGCCACAGAAGCTGTGCTTTAGGGCTGAATTATTTTACTACTTTCAGTCCTAAAACGTGACAAAGCGTACACGCTGTCACCGCTCATCACGCGTTTTCTAACCACTTAATACATGCGAGATTTTGCTAACATTTTTCATTACAACTTTAGTAAAGGGAAACATCTGTTTCCCCCCGTCTTAGAAAGTACATTGCATCTTCCGAGCTGCCATATGTCTTTGAAATTCCATGTTTAATCAACGCCATAATCTCTTCCACATAAAAACCCCTCAGCGCTCAGACAAGCAGTCTTGCAACAACGACAACCTTCCCATCAGATCAGCATCCGTGTTTAAATGTTTCCAGTTTTTCTATGGAAAAGAGCAGCGTTGAAAAATCCACACCAAAACTGATGATTTTGTTGGTCAAGTAATGAAATCAATAGCATGTATTCTGGAATACAAAATTTATTTCAAGCTTATAAAAGTCTTCCACATGGCAAATTCTGTCACAAAACACTGTACACAGATATTTTCATTAAGGTTTAGAGTAACGATTATTACTGTGAGATCTCTCCACACACATCTTTTCAGCTCGGGAACATCAAGTGACCACACACAGCTTCTTACCATCTTCTTTGAAACGCGTTAGTCTCATACGTGCCTTGCAGCCCAACGGCTTTGAAAGAGTCAAACGCGTCAGTGCAACCTCACTACTTAGTACAAGGTGAAAGATCCAGAAACAGAACCACCCATTAAAGCATCAGCTCTCTGCGTTTGCTCCTCGCATTATCACCGGCTGGGCAGCTATTGCCTGCAGGTGTCATGAAAAGCTTCAAGTGTTCGGAAATCCCTCCACGTGGGTGGCAGGCCATCCTGCAGAAACTTTCCGCAGCGCTGGCATGGAGCCTGGAACAGCTTTATGTAACTTCTTAACCAGGTCTAAAAGGAAAAGGGAGAGAAATTAAGAAAACGGGATATGGATGTTCCCCTTTGTCATCATTCTTGTCAAGCAGTGATAGCGAGGGCAGAGAACGTACTTTGGTGAGGCCCCAGTGAGGCAAACAGGGATTTTATAAACAGAAACATGCAGAAGATTACAAGGTCACTGCATAGCTGAATTCCCTCTTTATTAATCATCTTTTGCTTTTTTAGTCACTCAAGCAAATTTGTTAATAGAAATTCACGCATTCTGAGCAGGAGGTATTCTTAGCTAGAGAATCACGACGGAAGGCAAATACTGTAACGCTTCTCATATTTTTACCGGAACATAATTGTTCTTGATGGGTCCCTTCTTCAATCGAATATTGGTTTGTCTCTTCCTATGATCATCTATCACAGCCCTGCTGCAGCGCTCTGAACTCATCATAGCTAAGATATAAGGACTTTTGCAGCAAGCTAACTTCCTCTCTAATGTGATTGTAAGATCAATTCTCATTGGTCATCAAAATACCGTACCATTTTAAACATGAATACACTGATAAACATATATAGATATATATAAAAAAATATATACCTATATACAAATACATATATAAAAGGTTAGTGCTGAAGAACACAGAGTAAGCTCAGGTGTTTTCCGGTAAAGCTCCTGCCTGTAAAGTGGACTGTACATAGCAACGAGCATTACATAAGTCCCAACTCAAGGAGATACACAACTAAAAAACACCTAGACCAGCAGATTTATGCTGTGAAGGATGCACATGAATCTTGTCATTTAAAGTCCTATTGAATTACGTCGATAAGAGAAAATTGTTCTTTGAAGAAGAGGTCAGCCGAGTTTATTGAAACAAATCCTTCCATCTTCATCAGAGCCTTCTCTATAGCAACTGAACCTTTGGCCGTCAATAACTCTCCTCCAAAAGAACTGGATCTTCTCTGGGTTTAGCAGTAAATACGGGGACAAGGGCAACAAACACTACAAGTAAATTGCTGTTATTTACTTCAGTTTGGTAGGGCTTTGCTTGCGCTACAGAGAAATCGAATTTTCTAAACCGTAATACGAAAATAGGTAAATGAAGTTAAATTGTGCACTTGAGACACCCGTTGAAAGGAAAAAAAAAAAAATTCGTTCTTCATTCCCATCAGAAAATTAGGGCTTCACTCCATCCTGTCATGTGGATTGCACAACTGACACATGAAAGGACCAACATATTGGCACTGGTTGTGCTCTGTTAAAAGTTTTAGTAGTGCTTTATCAAATCAATAAAGCAGGTCCATGGCTGAAACAAACGTGCTACCTGTTCTATTAAACACTAATTTTCAGAACCGTGCTGAAACATGGATTTGACCAGTAAGAGTTTCTTTCACCTTTCAAAACTTACTATTTTAAGATGCACTCTAGGAGAAGGGACCTTTGCAAATCTCTCATCTTAGTGGCTTTTTTACTAAATAAACAAACTGGCAGAGCAGGTAAGGGAGTCTGACTGATGTAAAACTGCACAGTGGAAATTAAAGACATAAAATACCCAGTGCTACTGTACACACCTACAGATTGCAAGAGGCAAAATCTGATGTTTGTTTTTAAAAGTCCCAGTTACGTTGCTCCAGGTAAAGGGGCAACATAATGGAAGTGAAGGAAAAACCTGAAGAGCAGAGAAAACTCTCTCAAAAAAGCCTCCTTTGGGAGGCTGCAGCAGAGAAAACAGGAAGAGTCTCCAGTGCCCAAAATCAGCTTGGTGGAAGGAATTCTGACTCGTAAACCCTTGTTCTTGCTCTTTGATTAACAGGGCTGCTCTACACAAGTTTATTTCACAAATAAAATTCTAAATACCAGCAGAATTAAATGTGCTAAACTTAATCTGCATATCAAGATAGAGCAGTACTTGATTAATTTCATTCCATAAGAAAAAGCAGAATACTTCAGCATTTCCTTGATTCCCAAAACCACCTGCTGTTGCGCTGGGCAAGCAGCTCCAATTCCTTAAGAGCAAAGTTGGAGCTGAAAGTGCATACAGCCAAAGAGACTGTTCCCCACCACATTCCTCCCTCATTATTCTCCAAAGAACTCGAGTCACTGCCCACACTGGGTGAGAGCTGGCAAGCAAGGGGCCCCACTTGGGAGTTTCCCCTTACTGGGGAATTTTGGTGGAGCCAGCTTTCTATATCCAGAACTCAACTCGTTGCACAGCGTGAACAGCGTGAAAGAGCTGGGCCAGAGCAAAAAGAAAGCTGGATGAGAAAGTTTTTCCTATTGCCTTTAAAGATGACCCAGAGTAGCTTTGCTAACAGGAATCATCAAGCTAATACTGAGACCTGTGACAGAAGAACCACACACAGCTCAGTCTTCCAACACTAATTATCCCAGGGTAACAAGGATGAGCTCCTCATCCTTGAAGACGAATTCCGGTCGTTCTCTGCTGTCTAGCCTGTTTAAAAGGGGAAATCGCAACTGCCTCATGTCAATCACTGTAAGCATGCTGAAGTCTATCTGGAAAAAAGTATTTTCCAATGCACTTACCATGAAAGATCTGACTACCACATCTGGCATTTGAGGCAGCTGGTAGTGCAACAGAGCAGTGGTCGCATGATCTGTCACCTGCATCAGACAAAAGGGGAATAGATACTTATTCATTCTGTATTTCAGAGCAGGCAGCATTAATCTGCAGGGAAAACGGTATAAATTCCATGAGGAAGTAGCAAAACAAGGATTACATGACTGTGAAGACATTCTCAAAGTAACTTTGGGTTGGTTTTGACAGCTGGCTTCCATTCATCCATGAACCAGTTGAAGCACTCATGATAAATACCTTAGTGTGCAGGCGGTAAAATCAAACATACCTTTGTAAGTTCCTGAACATGATAAAAGCGAATAGTGTTGGTAAAAGGATCTAGACCGGTAGCTAAGGTGAGCCAGGTGACGAGGGGGATCTGCACCTCTGCGTTACACAGAACAACATTAATGTGCTTCGCCTCCCACGTTGGACAACCAACTCATGACAGAAAAATAAGTAGACTCTCTCCACTTTTTAATGAGAAAACTTAAAATATTTAACTCTTGTAGTCCTGTTTCTGGTTGCTTACACTGAACAGGAACTGAGCTCTCAGTTTCATTTCCTCTGAAACCAAGAATCAATTAATATGATTATGTTTAGAAATCCTTTCATTAGTGAAAGGTTTCTGTGAGAAAGCTTTTTTATTTCCCAGACAGAGCCATAACAATATCATACAACCGGGAATTACAATTAGACAGAAAAGATATAAAATGCCTATCTATAATAATAAGAATAATTAAAGGAAAAATCAGGAAAACCAATCCGTGCTTTGATAGATTTTAAAAAGAAATAATAAATCACTACTTTTTAAAAATTATTCTGAAAGGGGGCAGTTTCTGTCAGCTGAGACACAATTCACTAACAGTAGGCAGCCTGTCAGCTTCCTAAGTTATTTGCACAGTCAACAGCTTGCTGCTTCTCAGAAGTTCTAGGCTTAATGCAGAAATTCTTGGCAAAATCCTTTGGGCTGGACTATCAAAAAACTCAAGACAACACAACCATGGGAGCTGTTTCACTTCTTGTAACTTGTGATTGCCCAGTTAGGGACTAAACTGTATTTTCTAGTTTTAACCTGGACAAGTTGTGCTCTTCTCAGGGCTAGTCTATGTATTTCTCAGGGCTAGTCTATATACCAGAGCAAATTTTCACAGAACCACAGAATCACAGAACAATTCAGGTTGGAAAAGACCCTTGGGATCATCAAGTCCAACCATTGACCCTACACTACAAGCTCACCCCTAAACCATATCACCCAACACCACATCTGAACGACACCTGAACACATCCAGGGATGGCGACTCGACCCCCTCCCTGGGCAGTCTGTGCCAGGGTCTGACCACTCTTTCTGTGAAGGATTTGTGAAGAATTTCTTCCTAATGTCCAGCCTAAACCTGCCCTGTTGCAACTTGCAACCATTCCCCCTGGTTCTGTCCCTAATTCCCTGTGAGAAGAGACCAGCACCAACCTCTCTACAATGCACAATTTTGAGTAAGACGAAGTGTGAACTGAAATTACAGTTGTTATCCCCAGCTAACTCCGCTTGTTCCCAATTTGTGGTTAGTCTAATTCCGCACTGGGAGTTGTGCTGAAGCACTCGAACTCACCGGAGAGAGGCTCATGCTTGAAGCTATTCAGGGAGGTGAATCTGTAGAAGATGTATTCCTGAATAAATCCATGTATAGACAGGCTCTAATTCACACCACACAAACCTCCTCCGCAGAACGCTACAGCCAATCGGTCTGTCCTACACCAAATGCAATTTTAAGTTATACTACAATTTTAGAAACAGATTCTGCTCCCCGTCACTCGTGCACGACTAACTCCAAAAGCAGCTCCATTCAGCGTGAATACGGACATGTGATTCTGACATTTGGAAGGGAAAACTTCCGGGACCGTGCACACTCTGGTAAGTTTGCAAAAATATTCACAAAATGGGACCTCAGCCTGCTTAAGGCATTTATATGTCACCACATTGAAAAAAGTATTAGAAATAACATGATTAACAGTGCATTAATAGCATGGCATAACTCAAATCAATCATTTCTTTAAAAAAAAAAAATCTCATGTAGTGTTCAAAAATAATTGTAATCCAAGTCTTACCAGCTATGTGAATTTTTTTTCCTTTTAAGATGGTGCTTTTATAGGATAGTACCAGCCATGTCAAAGAATAGAAAGTTCTGAAGATATTTATGAGCAGCCGCTCTCCTTCTGCTGTATTTCTACTTCTAACAAACTGCATTTTTTTTTTTTTCCTGAACAACAAAGTTGTTTTCTCTTGGCACCGAAGAAAGTTGCTTAAAAAAAATACTGCTATTAACAAATTTAAATTGACTGGCCACTTTGGCAAAGCTGCACATATGCTGTTCCTATTGTAATGTAAAGCTAATGAGATTCCACAGGGAGATAAAAGAGATCCCAGCATTGCTAGAACACTAATAATGTTTTCCGAACAAAAAGGAGGCAATTTCTACCATAAGCAAGTGCTGATAAAGTGCTTCTAAAGGAGATCAAAGTAGGTGTTGAATCTGAGGAAGAGGAGAAGGGGAGTGATCCCCCCAACCCCATCCCAGCAAAGGACACGATGTCAAGCAGAAAAAAGCTGGACAAATGATAAACTGGCCCGGTGCACAGGAGTGAAGAGAAAATTAAACCCTTCCAAGATAACAGGGATGGTGAGAGAAAGCACAAACTGGCCAAGATTAAAAAAGAGGAGGAAAAAAAAGAGGGGGGAAAAAAAAAGATCAATACCCAGCTTTACTAATGGCAATATGATTTCACACCAAAGCAAAGCAAAACAAACTGCATATGCGCCAGCTCACTTAAGGGACCGACTTTTTCTTCCAGCCAAGTTGGAATCACAAACTAATTTATTTTGGGTGTTGGATGACATTTTGTACATTTTACAGTTTTATTTTGTTAGCTTCACTTTTACTGCTCTACCTCACCTACTGCTATCTAAGTTCTTGGCCACTTCCTAATTTCTCTACCTCTTTTTTTACAGGAACATATTCAGAAGAGCACACATTGGTTAGATTAGCTGTTGCTCTGGACCTTGGAATAGATTTTCAAGTGATCTTGCAGCAAAGCTCAGTATTTCACGATTCATATATTGAAAAGCACTTGGAATTTTTTGTCTGAAAAAAAGGGTAACACAAGGCAATCTCCTGAAGCACAACTTTCGGTAAATAAAACAGCTATTCTTTAACTAAGCACTTTGAGACAGAGCATGGAAAAATAATTCTGGCAAAGCGGTTCAACTTGAACAAGAAAATTTCCCTTCTTGTTAATAGTTAATTTATGACCCGAGTTTTTTTTTTCTCCTCCTCGCTTCCAAATTCAAGCTGATGAAACCCCCGAACTTCTTAACTGCATCTCTGCTCCCTCGTCTAGGGCACTGTGTACAAAGCAGACTGAGCACTGTGTACAAAGCAGACTGATACTGGATCAAACCGAACCGTCTCCATTGGCGCTTTGCGCAAATTAAATCCCATGTGTTGGTCACTGTTGGTGAAAAAAAAACAGTCCCAGGAAGCGAATAGGGCTGCTTAGGTACTGGCCCCTACCGAGCCCACGTTGCCACTTGCTCTGCGGCAGAGCAGGGAGACGCAGGGCCCGAGCTCCCTCTCGCAGCCCCCTGCTCCGTAAAGGCATAAAGAGCTCAAGAAACCAACACCCAGCCGTGAGGAGAAAACAAAATCCCTGTTATTTGTCTCAACCAAGCCAACGCCAGTCATTTCCAGAGCATTTCTTTATCCGCTTGATAGTGCTGCTCTGCTTAAACATGCTTTCCAGAGGTGACACATCCAAAAAATGGCATTACTGAGCCTTGGCGGGACTTGTTAGTCATATGGCATTCCCTGAGATGAAAATTCATTTACAAAAGAAAAAAAAAAAGCAGCATTCTACAATTCACAGGTTGAGAAAGCTCAACAAATGCTTCTTCTGACTGGAATAAGAAGCACAAAAGCAAAGACCTATGGCAAAACCTTGCTCTACCACAGACGAGGTATGTTGCATAGATGTAGGAAGCTAGCATAAAAATTAAAACATAAAATAACAAAGATCACACAAATAAATTACAGCAGCTGCCTCTCTCTGCCACTATTTTATCTTCCTGCCAATAAATATGGTTTTCAAAGGTAGGTGCAAAACTTCCTTTAAGAGTCATAACTTTCCTTGCCACTTACTTATTGGTTTATTCCCTCAAGTACGGCACTGACAATTCCATCTAATATAAAGGGATTCTCTAAATCCCCTGGAAGTTTTTTAATTTTTTTTTTAAACCCCGCTAAGTTCATGGCCTTAACAGTAGCCTGTAGCAATTCTGGAGTTCTGGAGGATGATCACACCACTAAAAAGAAAAAAAAAAAAAGAACTTATTTTATTAGTGTTTAGACCTTTTTATAGTGTGGAAAACTGCACGAGTGCCTTTGTTCACTTCCAAGGATTCTCATTACTCAATTTTCTCTCCAGGACCACGTCTGAGACTCTCTGGAGGGAATCCAGTGCACAGAACCGAGTGCCCGAGAGGTGCTCGGAAGGATGATCGATGGTGTGTGTATGAACAGGCACTGATGAACTCCACACAGATCCTTCACGTACCCTTCCCCGCTCCCAATTCAGTAAAGCACGACCAGACTTTCCTGAAGCGTAGCATTTGTCACTTGTTTGCAGAGCTCAGAGCATTTAAGCTTTTATTTTGCTCATTCTGCTTATTTGGACTGGGCCATCGAGATTTTATTTCGCCTAAGGAGGGCTTTGAGCAGAGCCAAGTACTGCTCGTGCCCAGGAGCAATCATGCAGGTGACCCTGGAACAGTCCATCTCCTCTCCTTGAGCAGATTATCATCAATAGCCCAATATTTGTCTCATGCATGCATTCATCCCGCATGTGATTTTACTCTGGGATTATTGACAAGAATACATCTTCATACATTACAATACTTATGTGCCCTTGTGGTGGTGGAAATTATGCCCCTGAGTTGCATCCCTTTGGGATCACAGAGCTCACAAACAGCTCGAGAGGCACAAACAGCTGCGGGAAGTTCAGGTTAAAACGTGCCTTGGAAAGAAGCAGACTGAGCCAAAACGAAGCCAGCCTGTGGCACGCTAAAACTGAGAAACTGTTTAGGTGAAAGTAAGAATGGGACTCCGAGATCAGAATCAAATACATGGGGTTAAAGCCTATGTCTATAACTTAAACAGTCAAAATGGTCATATAACAGCAAAATCAGCTACGCTGCTCATAAATCAGTGTTTGACACCATCTCTCATTTTGATTCACTCACAGCACTCTCACTATTCGGTATTTTTGCCTCATTTTTGAATGCAAAATTATGAATACTGCACTATTTACACTACGTACTTTTAACCCTCTGCACAGTGACCTGGAATTGTGCAGCCCTTGCGTACGCTCCTCTTCCCACCGAGATTTAAGCCCCCAAATATTTCCTGATTTCCTGTCTTGTTCCTTCTCTTGTGCTAGTGAATCAAGAGATGCAAAGTGTTAAAATAAGGAGTTTAAGATCAAAACAGCTGCTGCTCCTGTGGAGTGTAAATGTCAGACCAACGTAGAAGCCTGAAAAACCTTTTCTTTGCTCCTTGTGCTTCTGCCCTTTCAGCCTTCCCTCTCATTTCCCAGCTCCATTCTCTGAAGCGAACCCTGCTGCTGGATTCAACACCTACAAAGCTTATTCACCCCAGGTCCAGATTCAAGGAGTCTCCAGGGAACTCGGAAAACAACCGTACACTTTAACAGTAATGGGCCCTCCGGGAGCCGTCCCCCATCAAATTATACACACTCGGGTATCCTGCCTAATAAGGAGGAGAGAGAAAAGGCTTGCTGACACAGCCAACGTTTGCAAACAAAGTCAGGACAAATTTAGCTTCATTTGACAGGGTTGGATTGAAGATCAGAGGTCTCTGGTCCTTAACCTAGAGCGCCATGCTGCAACCCGGCGAGAGTTTGACAGGCTGCAGCCACCGCTGGCAGGTATCGTGTGAGCTCCAGGTGTTGTGGTAAGATCCCTGAAGAGAGAGTTGGAGAACCTGGCCCAGCTCTTAAAGAGAAACGGCCCCGAGGGATGACCGGTTTTTCAGTGTTAAAGGTGTGGAAGAGCTGAAAGGGCTACGCAGCCGCCTCGGTGGGAGCGGTGACTCCTCCGTATTTTTCCTTCTCAGCACAGCCCTTGCACATCGTGTTACTGGCGACTGCCACGAGAAACACATTTCAAGAACATTCGGATGTGCTCTGACACATTTACTGATGATTTTTTAATGACATGAAAACATTTGTTCTGAAGATCCTGCAGTACAGATCCTACACTAGTAACAGAGTATAATAGTTTCTCTAACACTATTTTATCTATTTCCTTCATTTTGCTACTGCAAAATCACTAGTCCTGAGTATTACAAATGGATACAAATGCAGCTTCAGAGAATAAAGAGAAAACCAAACCAAGCACAGCACCACAGGGAGAAAATTTACTATGCTGAACCACGGCATTTTCTATCATCTGTTTGAAACCTGACTTAGGTTCTAGCCTGAATTTATTTAAATATCAGCTCAATAGTGCAGAATCTATTGATTAGAAAGTACCATCACCTTGCATTTTTATCACATTTTTCATGCAAGAATCTGACAGTACTATGTAACCAGTTCAACAATAGCTCCTGTGAAGTCAGCAAGTATTACCCCAGCCTAAGGGATGTAGAAAAGTCATCCAAAGAGAGGGGACTAGGTTGCCCAAGGTAAGACAGTAACAAAGCTAGGAACAAAATATGTAAAACTGCTATTAAAAAAAATGCAGACAGCTTTCCAACTGGCTACAGGCAACCCTTTATCCTGCAGTCTCTTCTTTCTGTTTTTCTTGGTAAATATGAATACATCTGGTATTACTTACTAAGAGAGAAGTGGACAACAGGAACTTAATATTCAGGTCCTATCACATTATTTTAAAGACTTAGAAAGAGAATAAAAATTCTTATTTATCCATAATGCAGCCACAGGCAGCAGTAAGAAGGACATTTCCTATTTCCTCACTGACCTCTTTCACCTTTTATCTGAAGGCCATCATCAGAACCTGAAGAAAAATTTATGTAGTTATGCTCCCCAAGTCTTCAGCTTGGACTCCTGAGCAAAGCTGCACACTTACTCTACTGTTATATACTTTGTATATAGGCAATTAAAATTATATAATCAAACCCTCAGGACTTGTTACCGTTTAGTACAGATGACGGCAATCTGACCTAATCCTTTCAAGTTGTTCTAAACCAAAACATCCAGGAAGACAATCTTATGCCCAAATGAGCTCACAACCTCACACACGTATCGGGAAATGGAAATGATGCACTTAATCACAGAACCTTAAATGTATTCCACTGCAAAAGTTACTTAAAAGCACACTGATACACAAGTTACTAAGATTTACGCTGTTTTACTTCCCACTACATTACTCTACTTGACACTAAATATTTTTGAGGAGCGAGGAAAAAAAAAAAAGAAGAAAGAATATTTAATCCACTAATCTCTGGGGTAAAGAATCAACTGCAGCAAAATTTTGCTTTAATGCTAGGCAGGGAGGGAGAGCAACAAACCTCCCCAAAAGCTGTCCTTTGATCTCAGGCAGGTTAATATCACAGGTCAAACGTCTTCCCTTCTGACTGCATCTGAAATCTTGGAAGGAGGATGCACAAATACAGCCAATATGCCACACTTTTGACCCTGGCTTTTACGCCCTTTCGAGTCCCTGACCCCGATTTGTTACACAAACTACATAAGCAGATGAAAGGAAGCTGGCGCACGAGCCGGAGACTCAGGCTCCTTGAACTGTGGCTCGATGGTAAGAAAACCAGAATTTAAACCCCGATCAGTCTCAACTTACAGCACTTTGACAAGAGGCCTTCAAAGAGAAATCTCTTCCCTGTCTGAAAAATAGCGAGATACAGATCTTTCCAAACCACGCTTTAACCTTCTTAGTAGTTTTATACTTATTGCTCCCCTTTGCTCATTGTTCTTTTCTTTCCGGCATTTCAGCAAGTTACTGCTTTTGCTTACACCAGTGTGTGAAGAGAAGCAGGTAAAATAAGATCATGGGAAAAAATTCCAAACTCATTTAAACTAAAAAAAGAGGCTGTGAAGCTTCCTCATGAAATTTTAAGGCTAGAGTAGTAAAATCTCCAATGTCCTATTCCAAACCATGGACTGGAAATGTGATCGGAAATAAATCCAAGTTAAATAACAGCCTAACTGATCTCCCTTTCTACACACGGTTTTCCATTATTACAGATTATTGTTTGTTATTTGCTAATTGTGATGACAAAGGAATAAATTCTGACTTCTTTCACATACGGGCCTAAATATTTAAAATTAACTCCATATATTTCCTACATACATTATGTAGAGAGAAACGATGTGAGACTTACCTTCTGAAAAACTTGATAGTTGGATTTAGACCATATGTCAAGCTACAGTAGGAAAAAAAAAGTTATATATTACCACACATAAAGAAAAAGCTTTAAGAAGGAAAAGAAACTAAGCAGCTGTTCAAATTAAACAAGGAGGCAAACAGATCTACAAAGACATATTTCTCAGTTTACTATTTTGACCCATGGCCTTCACCTGTAGTAATCTAAGAAATTAATTTACTGATATAAGATTGCGATGAAAAATGCACATAGTTCATCACAGTTTCAACAAAATAAATTGTGTACATATATAACCTGTTGAATTAATGCGTTCTCTTCAAAAACAGCAAAATCTTTATTTGTATGGGGTTGTAGCTGATCTATGCAAATATTCATCAGCTTCAGTCTGTTTCTAAAATGAGGGCATTTTTACCAAGTTTATGCTTGTCTTGTGTCTGAATAAGCGATTCAGTTACAAACGACACAAAGAACGTTTAGCTGAATTAAGCCAAAGCACTCATCTACTGGGGCTAAATAAAACATCCCTTAGGAAACTGCATTTGCATTTGCAGACAAAAAAAAAAAATCACACTGGAAGAGATTTAAGGTTGTAGACAACTGCACACATCCATGACTTAGCTGTGTGCTCAGCTATATACGAATTAAAAGAACAAACCTGAAGTTTTACTAGCCCTGGAAACCAGAAGGTAAGGCTGTCTGTTGAAACACCAAACGGTTCACATGTTGAGCAGTTTCTGCTCACATGCTCACGCTCTTTTAGCCCAGCCCTGGGGAATACCTTGCACTCTGTCAAGGAAAAGCAGCAGGGGAAAAACTAGAGGAACTTCCATCAATCTCAGCTTGCAAATCACAGATCCCACTGTACTCAACAATTCACATGCACAAGACTTGTCAAAGGAAAGGTGTAGGAATCTTAGTCTAGACAGAGGAAAATAATTTTTTAAGTGAATTTATGAAGCAGGGATAGCTCCTCCAGTGCTTGATAACATGGCTGGACACACGTTTTTGAGGGTGATGTTAAAGACTTTAAAAATCATTTCAGGATCGAGGTTTCATGGTTTAGTACTGCTGACCTTGCCAGGAAACAAAAGGCAGCTGATGTCTCGATGCCTTTTCCAGGTTAGATGAAGACACAAGTACCCTGAGGAATGTGCCTACAAACGTTTTTACATTTACTGGTTCTTAGGGCGGGAGCAAGAACTTGTGTGAACAAAACCAACACTCATATGCTAGAGTCCACAGTGACAGCTCAGCCCAGATTTGGACCCAAGCTTGGACCCACTGTAATAACAGACCCATCCCTGTTGGGAAGGAATTATCACATTTTCATATTAGAAAAGTCTACATCTGAAAATAAAAAATTAATGCATATTTTTAAAAAGCTGTTTTCATGTAATTTAAGGATTCCTTTGACTACAGACAGAGCTGGAATGTATATATGGTTTTACTAATCTCTAGTGATCAAACCAAGTATGCAATCCTCTCTCGTTAGACTCAAGATCTAAAAAAAAAAAAAGTACTAAAAAAAAAAAGGCCACTTCAGATGATGCATTAAGATGAGTCCAACATCGGGTTCTGAATGTTCATTAGTTGACATGAAGATTGAAAAGCTGAAAAAGTAATGAATGCCTGTCTTAGAGACATGATGTTATCCAAGTTAAAAAAAAAAAAGAAAGAAGAAAAAGCTACCAAACCCCTCAAACCACATTCATACATCCTAAATGACTGCCCACCTTTCCCCCTGAAACAGAGGATTAAGGCAGAGGCAGATTAAAGAATGCATCGTTATAGGTCTATTATTCTTCAACTTTTCACTTTCAATCAAGACACACATTTGTAACTAAAAAAGTGCTGAAAGCACAATTTCAGGGCATCCTCTGCATGTGAATTAAACTGGGGCTTTTTTCCCAGTGCCCCACTCTCCCCACCCACCCCCAGCACAAGTAACAAGAGGCCATTTTCTGAAGGTCGTCTGAACGATTTCAAAGGCGATAACAAATCAGAATGTTCCCTGCATCTAATATCAAACAGGTCCGGTGCCAACACTTATTAGAGAAATCGGATTCAACCCCCCCTTCACCCAAACACACACACATCCAGCTTTGAAGTGGGAAGAATGCAGGGATCAGAAATTACCCGAGAGACAGCTCTGCCTGTCTTTGAAGCTTTCCTTTGATACTACTATTTCTTTTCCTCTCTTACGCTAGGAGGCTAAAAGCTGCCTTTTCTTATTGATATGGGGTAATTAATGAAGCCATAGCATTAACATAACCCAAGTTCCTTAACGTGATAATTCAACGGAGACGTTTCTTTAGTTAAGTCTAACGGATGCAGAACCAGGAATCTGGCAAGGCAGCGATGTTAAGTACCCACTCTAAATACGCCCTGCCAAGGTGGTTCCGGGTCTCTGAGTCCAAAGAAAAGCACGGTATTATTATGCCAAAAAATCCCAATAAGTTTTTATTTTTATTGGCAGATTAGGGCTACTAATGGCTCAGCTGACGCTAAGCCTGCCCTGGAAGGGTGAGCTGCGCAGCTTCATTTATTCAGGAACCAGGACAACACTAGTAATTAATTACTCTCCACGATTAAATTCCGGCGCACAATGAGTATGTCAGTTTGAAATTAAGGGTGGCACAGTGCCACCACGACAACCACGGGGCTAATTAAAATGCATCAGTATGTGGTGGACGTAATGGGTTAGTACGGCACGCAAGAGACTGCAGAGCCAGCAGCAGCCGGAACCCACGACGTGACAGAGGCTGCCAGATCTCACCTATTGTTTTCGCCAAGTGTCACCAAAAATGTCTAAGTTATGCAGCTGGCAACCTGGCAAAGACATATTCTGCAGGGTTTGTGAATAATTCACGAGAGAACTACAGTGAAGCACTCGAGAATTGCAATGACTCTTCGTCTGTATAAACAAAGCTTGAAAATAAGACCCCAGAATGTAATGACTTATTTTACTCACTGCAAGCTTAAGGCTTCTATTTTTCCACCTTAATTTTGAAAGTATTTAAATCTGTAAGAGCAATTATCCAATTTAGCTAGACTTTGGTACAGCAGAAACCACATGAAGCTTTCACATAAAGTACCTGTCAACCTTCACAGCACAACGTACAAGCACGCAGCAGGCGAAAGCAAGCCCGAGAGTGCAACGTCAGCTTTCCTGAGTAACTGCTGCTATGCCACCACACACAGCCCCGCAACTACGAGGAACACCCATTTTCTTTTCTTCTCTAGACTTGCCTGACTACTGGACCAGAAGACTATCAACACCTCTGCCGTTTGCACTCATCTCTTCCCTTTTTCTTCCCAGAATGCAAAATTTACAGTTGTACTTTGAGAGATAAATTGCGACCCCTCGGATCTGCAAGCGAAGCATGGCTTCTTCTGTGCACAGTCCACTTTTTACTTGCTGTCTGTGCGATCGTTCGGTCTCCTGATGTTGACCATCTCCTCTTTTGCTGAATACCACTGGATATATTCTGTTGCCCCCAAACCCGCTCTACTCGGAGAAAGCTCTCCAAGGACCCTCTGACTTGTGCAGCTGAGGATGGCTCAACAGACTCTCAGTCAGCTATTTAAGTGGAAAGAAGCACAACGACTTATCCTGTGTCCTTTCTTTAGCATGGCTTATAAAACAGTCAGGAGCTTCAAAACTGCCATACTGTTTGATACCACCTAGCTAACCTTGTTGCTGCTGTTTACAAATATTAAATGCTTCCTAGAAATCCACAAGCTGACCCCTAAATCTGCAGTTACTGTGTAAACTGCTCACTGGAAATACGATTCCCTCCTGCTGCGATCCTGAGGGTTCTCCATATTTTTGTTATTTAATAGAGATGATACTTGCTGATCTCCTTTTTTATGCTTTCCTGTGTCTTATGAATGCTAGTGCATTTTCCCCTCTCTCAGGCAAGTAACTGAGAAGCTAGAACAGGAGGGTGAAACCTCACTGGAGTACTTTCCCACCAGCATCTGTTGTGACAGGGAAAGAATTGGAATGGACTCTGTTTGCAATTGACTGTAATCGCTCATTCCCAGCAGGCACAATAAGTAAAGCGAATCATTGCAAGAGCACAATCTTACTCTTATTCTCCAATTACCAGCGTAGTTAATTAGTGAAAAAAAGGGAGCTTACTGTTTGTCAATATGTGCTCCAGTTGGCAAAACTAGCCAGTTACGCATTTATTCCGAGTCCAAGCCAAATTTACTCACGATTTAAGTGGCTGCAACTCCAATTCTACTTAAGTCAAATGAAATGTTCTTATTTATAGGTGAAGCGCAGATCTTCAGGTTTGTGAAAGCCCTGGGATGGTCAAATGAAATGTTCTTATTTATAGGTGAAGCACAGATCTTCAGGTTTGTGAAAGCCCCAATGGAAAAGCAAAACTGCTTCATGAAGGTCACAGGTTCATGCAGCCTCGTGGCAGCAGTTGCATAGCCGAGCTTTGGACACAGAGAGCTGAATCAGTAGAAAAGAGACTCCCTCACAGACCGGCTTAAGGCAAGAGAACGAGCCCGGGGTTAGTTTTTGAGAAGGTGAACTGCTCCCCACTGACAGCAGACAAAGGCTAGTGCCCCGTGCCCAAAGCTGGCCTCGGTGAGTCCTGCTCTCCCCATCGCAGCCCACGGGGACAGAGGAGCAGCATACGGCTCTCCGGAGAGCTAACCTTGAGCTAAAGAGAAGCCCGATGCCAGATGCTGACTTTCAGAAAGGAATTCTTTTACTTAGCTTTTCAGCATATAGAGCATTATTGTACTTCAAGGGAGCGTCAAAGGAGACCGGATTCATCAGAGAAAATGAGCACACCCAAATGAAGTGTGACACGGGAATCCATCAAGCACTGCCAGTGCTCTTTAGGCAGACTATCATTTCACTTCCAAGCAGAACTTGGGGTGAAGAGGGGCTGGTGCTGTAACTCCATATTTATATCCTAATATACAGGGACTACGGTGCAGCTGCTTCAGCAGCAAAGTGGTATTTAAACTGCATATTTGAATAATGCAAATCAGAACCAGGCAGTTCTCATTTTACTACTTCTTAGGCCAATCCCCCGCCCTTCAAGCAAGAATCTCTCACCTGGGAAATACAGCTGTACTATTTCCTTCAGCAGATCAGCTCCTGGCCTTTTCTAGGGAACAGAGGTTCAGACTCGGAGCCGCTGAACTCTGGGTCAGTACACAACGTGCTTCTGTGCGCTAAAACACAGTGAGCGCTTTTGAAAGGAAAAAAAAGTCTCACCTCATTATAACATGGCCTATGGGTGCCAAGCACTCATCTCGATATAATGAACTTTTTATTTTAATAGGTTTCATAATCAGAAGAGAAAGCTCCAGAGAGAAAATGTGAAACATGGAGGTATTTAGTACTGTTACTGGCAAAGGAGAGTCCTGGTGGATGTCTCGGTAAGAGAGACCATTCCACCCTGAAGAGAGAAACGAGTTGAGCCGAAGGCCGTCAGGTCCCATTAACATCTTCCGATGCGCTAAAGCGAGCCATATGGAGTGCGTGCGGGCAGGCAAAATTCGAGGGTTCAAGCAGGGTGAATTGTTCATAAAACAAATTGCTTGTGGAAACAGGTAACGCTCGCTTTAATAGCTGCTGTTCGAGACGTGCTATTATTGACAAGCGAATTATTGAGGACTACCTACCGATGATTCGCACAGTTGCGTTTATCAAGTCGAGCACAAAACCAGCCCAAGATTTCCCAATGGCTCTCACGAAAGAGAAATCTGGACCTTGGGCTATTGATGTACTGGTACACTGAAAAAATGTTTTCTCAGTAGACACTATTAACGAGGCAACTGGGGTCTAAGGTGATAGATTAGAAATTCAAGCAAGGGCTTCAGAGCTTAGAAAGAAGTCAGATATCTGGGTATGAAAAATCCCAGCAAAGCATGATAAATTTAAACCTGAGCACTCTGCAAAACATTCACAGAGTCTTTTGACAGTTTTATGTATCTAGCATATGTGTGATGGGATTCCTGTTCTCTGTCATTTAAATACGAGGTAAAAATAAAATTTAATGTTGCTGGATATACAAGAACCCACCTTGCCATCTTCAGTATAGACATTTTCATTGTAACCTTTCACTATTGTCCGGTCAATGAAGAGGCTCCGCATCACCACTATCACTTTTAACACTTTTCCTAAGGTAACCTGCAAAGAACAAGAGGACAAAAACAAGCTGAAGGAGAGCTGATAGTGTCGGAATTCGCAAGGCCATCAAGTTAACAGCTTAAGTTGATGCAATTTCAGTTTTCAGTATTTTACAGAAAGGCCAAAATAAAAGATCTAAGCCCACGGTGCGTTATGAGGAAGAGATAGACTATAAAGTGCAGAACAAACAAGCATTCATTTGCAACTGAAAATGTATGAATTCACAGAATTCCCTTGCGCAGATATGACACTGCCAAGCTACTCGATTTTATTAACACCACAACTCAATAACTTGTCAAAAAACTATGAGTAAATGTTATTATTTTCGATGTATTTGATATTCTCCAGTGTAAGTCCACTTGGCAAAAAATAATTTGAAAGAAGAATCAGACTCTTCTAATGTTAGCTTTTAAAAGCAGGCCATGAGTTTAATGGAAAACATTTTCAGGTCCAATAAAAACGTAAAATTATTTAAAAGGAAACTACAGTTTTCAACGTTTAATCTTCTTCCATGGAAGCAGCAAAATGTAAAGAATAAAACTCGTATCGTGGAAAATATATAGGGTCAGTCATAGTATAACAATAGAAATAAGCCTAAATTATATTATTGACAAAAATGCAATAATGAAGGCATTTTAATCTAAAAATCAATTTACATTTCAAAGATGAACTTGCACTTCAATATTGTTGAGATGTGTCTAACAATAATTCTGTCTTTGTGTTCTGTTAATAGAGATTATTACAGAGCTTTTCCTCACCCACAAAACCAGAAAACTGAGATAACGCAACAATTAGTTCATTTTAATATTTCTCAAGCAGCAGCGGCTCATTTTCCCTCGTCTGTGTTGCAACATTTCATCCAGTATAGATTAATACATGCTAAACCAATTGTGTTTTTACTGCGAACCTCAGCAGACAAATCCACACCCAAAGAAATCGGTCAATATGCATCTTTATTGATTTGCTACACGTTTTTCCTTTTTAACTCCCGCTAATGACTCCTGCTTACCACCTTGTTTCAACATGAGTAACCTCAACCTGATGCTGATTAACTAAGAGATGAACAGGCAGATCGAGTCTGCAGGGCCAAGCAGCTTTTCCCTGCCACGGAGGAAGATGGAAAATCTGGCACAAGGACTCCATCGCAGAGCTGCTGAGGGAGGGTTGGTGGGGGGAAATGATGGTAGGAACGGGGTGATGATACAGACATTTGCAGAACAACTACCCATCCTGCTCTAAATGCCGCTTATTATAATCAAGGTGCCCTGATCCATAATGCTGATCGTCCACTGGAATCAGAGACAGTTTTGTCATAACTGCTAATACGAGGAATTGGAGTCACTTTGATTGTCAGCACGCTTTGAGTTAACAGAGTTTTATTTATTTTTCTACCTTAATAAGACTAGGACTTAGACTAAGACTACCTTAATAAGACTCTAGGATACACGTCTACTGAGAGAACTGACTCATATAACTTCACCTGAGAGAACTGACTCTTACAACTTCACATGAGGCATCAACCATATGCAGTAAAATTAAGAGGAGAAAAAGAAGAAATTTTAAACAAAAATAAATCTTCATGGAAGAGTAAAAAGGCTGCCTACAAACACCCAGACCTAGCTTTAGGTATAATATTTTCTACTGCCATTGCCTTCACACACTTTCCTGGATGCTCACTTCTTTTCTTTTCTTTTCCCCTGTTATGTATTCATGGTATCTCACATTGCTGCAAGGTAGAAAAAAAAAAAAGCATCAAGTTGCTCTGAAGCCTGTGTGGGATGTTCCTGAAAATCCTCAGAGCAAACAGCGGAATGTTACAAGCTCAAAAATCCCATGTTTGGCACTCGCTTGCTTGAACATACTTACTGCTGGCGTCACACCTCCCCACAGCATTTACCTGCACAAATGCTTTCCAAACACTTGTGCATTAGCTCACTGCCTTTCCCCAGGTCATCTGTTTCCAGACTCTTCCAGTGACCCACTGCACACCTCCAGAATCTGCCACGGCGACGCAGAGCCCAGCGATCACCCATCCCGCAGCACCGAAAGATCTAATTCTGCAGCCCAGGCCAGGCCAGCAGCCTTGCTCACCCAACTTGCTTGAATGTTGAATGAGCAAGGGTCACCGTGTCTCCCACGTGAGTAAGGAGCTGTGTAAACCCGTCCTTAGATGGGTACCCAAGGCCGTGAGCTTCCCCCGAGGAAGGCACTGCTGTTGGGATCTCAACTTGGTAACAGTTCGTGCACGGGGGTCCCTCTCTGGGAGCTGGGGGGCATCGTGGTAATACAGAAGAATGATAGAATACATTGAACTTTGGCCGATTTAGCGCGAGGTTTCCTGAATGAGCTCTTACGGTGTTCTGGCACTGAAATAGAAAACTTCCCTGGTTTTTGCTGTTGTTGTTTTGACACGGGATTCCTGTAGGTTTTATACTTGCTGGAAGAGAGAGCAGGACTTTCAGATGATTCTTGTAGGACTGTATCATCAATTAAGTCTGACAGAAGCAGAAATTTTGTAAAGCTATGCGTAGCTCAGAGGAATTATATTAATCATTTTAATAACATTGAAAGAATAAGGCTAGTAGTACAAAGAATGAACAACAGCGTGTCACTAGACTGGAGGATGCTGTTAGATTTGGAAGCCAAAAGTATGTTCCACAGCTATTTTCAGGGTAAAGCACATTCTGTGTTGTACACAGTAAATGGGATACCCTGTATTTTTTCCCTCTGATAGTCAACACTTGCAACTGTTTTCAGGACTTAATGTATTCACTCACCTCAACCGCATTTTACAACTCATATTTTCCAGCAAACCATTTTCTTTCAATGCCCGCTCAGCTAACTGGAGTCCATGTTCAGAAAAGACCTTCTGCGTGGAAAATAATTTACACCTACAGTCATACAACTGTGTCCCTACAGATCACCCGCAAGAAGGTAATAAAAACCTAATGGCTCTGGTACAAAAGTAATTTGATAGTTCTGCTCTGAGCTCCAGTAGTGCAGGTCTCTCCTGGAGGTCAAGACTCGCCCAGATGGTCCCTACCTAATGGGCACTGAAATGTCCCTGTGTTTCCACAGGTATCAACTGAAAGAAACTTCTTTCAGCACACAGAAAAGATACCTTTCAATAGTGACAAAACCGCAACAATTTCCTTTCTAAGCCAACTTTTCCTATTAAATTTCAGCTTCTTCTGTCGATATCCTGTTAAGACAGCGCTTGGCTTTTTAATATTTCGCCTGAAGGATATATGCCAACTCGTCCTTGATGTAGAAAATTTTAATTCAAATCAATACATGTACAAGGTCACTTTAAAATTCAATTAATATGAATGAAAAAATATGCCCCACAGTTCTGCGAGCTGAAAATGGAACAGTTGCAAGTTAAATACTTCTGTAGCTTCTGTTTTGGTCTGTGTAATAACAATGTACTTCGAACTTCCTTTTAACTGAAGTATACTAAATTCAGACACTGAAGTTATTCATAAATCCCCTGCTTCCTAAAATGGCAAGCTCCAGAAAAAGGTAGGACAGGCAGCTGATTGAAATCTGCAATACTATGCAGCTTCTCTGACAAAGATATATAAAATAAAATTCTTCTTGAAATATCCCAGTTTTAAAAATATTTTGTCTATCACCAAGATAATTCTCAAAGAGCATATGACAGACACAGCATGCCAAGAAAGGGGGAGGGGGAAACAGAATAATCAGTCAGAATGGCTAAGATAATTTCCTGTAAGACTGCTAAAAAAATTCCTATTTAGCATCACTCACGACTGGAAAAGAAGTACCTCTTCACAGAAGTCAGAATCAGGGTCAAAGCAAATTTACAAAATGAGAAGGAGCACAGTTAATTTACCACGCCAAAACTCTGCCTCGAGGAAACAGCCTGAAACCACCCCTTTAATTTTGCCTCCTCACTGAAACTGATTTTATAAACAATTTTAAAAATGCATTAACAAACATTCTTTCTTCAGATTTATTTAAAAGTTTGATATTAGGAAAACGTATGCTGATACCACCAAGCTCCAACACTTTGCAGAAAATTCCCAAAGCTGCCGATTTCCTCTCAGCATCCCAGGGAATTTGCTGCTGATTTGAGCTGCAGATGCTCTGCAATGCAGAGCTAAAAGAAAGAAAACATTATTTTCAGTGAACATGGATACCTCCCTGCTTGTATTAAAAGGAGCACAAGTCTGTAAGTGGTTTTCATTCATCTTAGAAAACAAGAAGGCAAAACCAAACCAGAGACGTTAACTAAGCCGTACGTATTTCCAGCAAAAGACCAGACACCAGCTCCTCCGTACAGCCAAGCCACAAGCTTGTCCTCCCACGCATGTGTCTATCTTACTCATCAGTACAGTGCCTGGAAATCTTATTTATATAGACTGAAAAATAAGGTTTTGTATTAAGGTAAAAAAACCAAACCCTCAACAACCCACCCAGACTTTCACCTAGTTATTTTTCTTCCTATCTCTCATCGGCTGCTGGTATGAACACTGCGCTTTCCCTCACATGCTCATTATTCTTTAATGATGCCTATTTGTAAATAGCAAGATAAGATGCAATTAAGCCATTAGAGTCTAAATAAACAAACATACTAATTAGGTTCTTTACAAGGATTTCTTTTTTTATGTAAGGGCTGGAATTTACCTTTCATTAGTCTAACCTAATAGCGATAGTGCATGATAAAGAGTCAACATAAACGAAGGGCTTGAAACGAGGGATAAGCTGGTGATCCTCTCCCTCGTAACAAGGCACGTTCTCTTAGTAAGGTGAACAAACTGGCACGGGATATTGTTCAAAGGTTAAAAGACAGATTTTGCCAGCGGCCACCCACATTTACGGAAGGGTCACGCTAGTCCAGCGTTGCTACAGACGATGAAAGGGATTTTGTACCTTTTTCCCCCATTCTAAACTATCGCACGCACAGAATTTTACAAGGATGAATATGGTGTCTGATCTTGCAGAATATAAATCTGTGGGAATATGAATAGAGACCTGTGAACCTTTGGGACTGGACAGCCACCCCAGGCCACAGGAATCCTGTGGAGGGAGCAGAGCCAGGGATGTCTCACAGGTCTTTCTGCCCTGGTTCACCTTCCCACCAAAACACTCTTCCTCATCCTCCTCATTCTTGTATTAGACAAGTAGAGCATAATTTACAATATATTTGTCATCTGCTCACATACTTTGTTGATTCAAGACATTCTTCCTCTGCATACGTGACCTCGAACGCTGCCTTAATGCTTCTGCGATACTGGATTTCAATCCTAAGACAAACTGTGACACTCCCGCAGCCAGAGCAGTCCTGCTACGGGCTCAGATTCCCCAAGATCCACCTCATGCAAGAGATCCTGAAACATCCCAGGAAATCCACCAAACAGCAAAAATTAGTGTCTTCAAGAGAGTAAACCCCTAAAGGAATATTTTCATTTTGTGTGCCTAAACGTGTGCCTAAGGCACCAAACACGGCGATCAGCTCTAAACCCCTGCCACGAGCCTGCCTCCCTCTCTCCAGCGCCCACCGGCTTCCGAAGGAGCCACCAGCCTGCTAAGGAGGAACGGAACAGCGTTCACCTGCTTCCCATCGAGAATGCCACGAACGCCGGTTACAAGTCACTCAGCAAATTTCTTTCCCCTCCTCCCAGTTCTTCAACATCAGGGGCTCTCGAACAAAAATCCGTTTGGTGGCCCTTCTCGATGGGCAAATAAAAATTTTCAGAATCTATTTTTCCCACAGAAAATAATCATGGTTTTATGTGAAACACTGATCAACAAAAACGAGACACAAGAAATGATTCCGTTTTAGTGAACAGATGTCCAGCCTATCTGCAATTAATACAGCCCCCTGCCATACAATCAGCCTCTTCGAAACGCCTGAAACAAGATTTGAAAGTTCAGATGCAAATGCGTCTGATTTTATGAAGAAGGAATAAAATTGTATAAAAACAGGTTTCATATTGTTACATGAGAGATCTACTAAAAATCAGTATAAATTTATAATACAAATCTACCATCAAGAATTCTTAAGACAACACGAAGAACTCTTGAGAAGAAATCGTGATTTCTGCCATGAGCTTTGGTTTGGCAGAAACTACTCAAATTTTCAGACTGGAAGGCAGTTACACATAACATTATCACCCAGACACAGCTCAGATTACAGAAAACTATTCAATTACCTGTAAAAATATTTACCCAGGGTTTGTAACTTCTACAGGAGTGCTTTTATATAGTTTTACAAACACCAGGGAGACAAATCATTTTAAAGACAAAGTGATTCCCAGATGAAGACGACAAAACAAGTTTCTACACCTGCGTAGGGCTGGCCAGGTACATGGCCCTAAGGAAATCATATTCGTCAGCTGGAAAAGTGGGGCTCATGTCTAGTGTTTTCTAAAATATTTGTGATATTAATTAATGAATTAATCGTACACAGGAATTCAGTGTTTCCCACTGGAAAAAAAATAGTGTGAACAAGGTGTGTGAAACAAGCATAGAACAACCATGTCATTCCACTAGAAAAAATAATATCTATCTAGGAATACAACTGATCATTAAAAAAAAAAAAATCAAAAATGTTAGGATTTTTCATTAATTACAAATTAGTTCACATACAAGATGAGGTTTATCTATTTACAATTCCTGGCATTTGACCAACAAAATCTCTCAAAAACCTTAAGGAGTCCATGGTTCCCTCTGCTGCTGCTGGAAATTAATTTTGCATAACGTTGTTATTAAAGCTGATATAATTCTATGTTTAGGCTTTTTCAGGCGTAGTGCGATTAAAAGATTAATTGAAAAATCACTAGTGAAGATTGGGATTAAACAGCACCTTGCAACGCCGTGATAAACTGCTTTTAAAAACCAGTTGAGGATTTCATACAGCTCCAAAAGGTTTCAATTATTTATGTGTTTGGTCTGTGTAGCATAAATCCAGACTAATGAGGTACAATTGCTGTGTATAAATCTAAAACATAAAACCCCCTCCTTATTGTCTGGAGGAAGCAGGAACCTCAAAGGACTAGGAGGCAGCAACCTTTCAAGACAGCATTTATGCTCTCAGGAATAGTTTATTTTTCTTTTTCCTTAAAGTTCTCGTTGTCGATGTGAGCCGCACCCAGTTCGGAAGAAGCAGCACAACACAGGGGTTACTCGCCAGAAGGGTGAGGCCAGCGGGCTCACGTGGCTGGGAATTACTCCTCTTGAACCACCGGAGGAACCAAACGACCGTGAACGTCCCACCTCCAGAGCTACAGACCTACATGCATTTCCGCACACACCTAAGTTGTACGGTCTGGGGCTCAAACTTGCTGTGTTACCTCTTTTCTTTTTTTTAATTCCCTAAAGATAATTTCACTGGCAAAATCTCCAGCTGTTCTGAAGTTTCAAAGAATCTCACAGACGTTCCTTTCCCCTCTCCCTCATCTCTTTCCAAACATTCTTCACATACGCACGCTGCTTACCAGTGCCTTTGATTATGAATAGACATTGTGGTTTTTTTCTGGTAAATGGAATGATTTAAAGAAGCTTTAATATGACAATTAGATCTCTGTCTCAAAGACCTTCATAAGCAACAGCAGGTATGATATGAACAGTCCAAGGACGAAAACGGTTGAGATGATCGGTTAGTTAATGAACTCTGGACAAACAAAACGGTTGTAAATTTCTTTTTAAAAATAAAATAAGCGTTATCTGAATCCGTTGGTATTGTGGTAAACCCTTCTGCTGCAAGGGAGCCACTCCAAATCAAACCTGGGGTAAGTTGAGAGTGAGAAATCACAAGTTCTGAAGAAACCTCCCTTCCTCTGGGGGAGGTGCTCTTCACACTGCCCAGCCCGCAGCACCTTTCACTGAACAATCTGTGGCTGAAAACAGCAAAAGCTTTTGTACAGTCAGGGCCAGATGGAAAATGCCATCTTGGCAACATCAACTGAGACAGATGGGAAAGAGGGAAAACCTGCCTAAGAGGAAAAAAAAATGATAAGCCCATCACACAATCACATACAAAAACACTTTAAACCCAATCTTTCTGATCTCTGATTCAAGGAAAATATGCACACCCCTGGTTCAAAACAGGGCTGCTATCTTGTAGCAACAACCACCCCCTTGATTTAGAGAGCAACTGCAACACAGAATTCACTAAATCACCACTGCTTGTAAAAGGGGCTTCTGCCAGTCACCACCCTTCCACCCTACCTTACTGCGTATCAGTCACATTGAGATAATTTACCTAATTATTAATTGTGCCTGAAACTTGAAAATCATCATCTATTTTTTGACCTCAAAAAGCTATCAGGAGTAAAAGGTACCTACTACATGCCAAGAGGGGCTCTGAGAGACTGGAAGTGCTTTCAAAGTAAGGAAGTAAACCCAGAGATTCTTCTACAGCCAAACAGTTAAATATAAAGCCAGCTTAAGAGGAAATACAAAAGCCTCCAAGATTTACAGCTTCTTAAGACTGCACTGACGAATTCAATTCTTTTCCAGAATATATTGTTCCACTTGGTGAATCCAACAATTGCAGATTAAATGTTTTAATGCCAGCTGTTTATTTTAACCTCTGACTCAGTTAATCTCTTGCAAATTTGGGGCCGTTCAAGAAAGTTAATAATGGGATGTTAGACAGTTGATTAACTAAAACTAAACATAATCACAGCTCTACTCACTATAGAGAAATTAAGAGAACCTTTGAAAGACACAGGCAAAAATCTAATTGTAATAGTGGTTTGAAGTCAACCAACTCCAGAAACAATATAAAACCTAAAGAGAGATCCTAACGTTTACTTATATTGACTCAACAACTTTGTTTTGACAAAGTATCTGATTTTCAGATTCATTTTACCGCTTGTTTGGAAAATAGAAACATACTCACATACACACTATATCCAAGTCTTTTGTAATAGCCTCCGTGAGTAGGGAAAAAAATAAGAAGCGCCATGAGAAATTCAAGACAGAAAAGACTGATCTAGTCCCAGTTCTTCATCTGTGTATAAAGTGTATTTTCTACTTTTAACTAAAATTTGGCAAAAGATCGGACTTCTGCATTTCACCCTCCTAGAAGAAAATCATCATCCAGCTGCCATGCTGAAGACTCCATTTCCATGTTGCTTAGAGCAGAAGTTTGGAAGATTTCTCTTGCCCAACAGCTGCCTGTGAAAATTGATGTGAACAATAGGTTCTTCTGGAATTAAATCTTGCCTCGTCAGGCAGAAATAAGTCGAATGTATTGGACTTGTTTATCTCTAATCCAGCCTTTACTGCTCATCTACTTCAAAGGCAAATTCTTGACTTTATCATATAACAGAAATTCACTGACCCAAGAACAATTCGAACAAATTTAATTCATATTGGTTTCCTTCCTCTCAACACTCTTTTCCCTCTTAATTATCATGATTTAGACTCACTCGCTGCCAAAACTGCTGAAAACCAGAGCGAATATTTGAGTTCACACTCATATTTTACAACCACGTGTAACAACAACAAAAAAGTAACAGATCTTTCATTTAAAGGTGAAATTCTTTTTATCACTGTCCTGGTTTGCCTAAGAGCATGAAAGGTCTTACATTGCTGTGACAAATGAAGAACAGTATGTTTCTGAAAAAAACCCAGAACTTTAATAACAAACTGCATTTTAACAATTCAATCCGTTAAGAAATCTGTCTCAAGGATTAAATGATCCAACTTACCAGAAGCATTGCTGAGGTTCCATTTGGCCGGGACAGCTGGATAGACATTTCAGGAAACATTCTATCAATCCGATTGATCACATCATCGACGTATCTATCAAACAAACCGAAACAACAGAATTAACGCACACGCTCTTTATCACAGACTCGGATAATTAATATATAATTATTTCCTTTTAACCCGCTTAAAAGGCAAGAAATGTTGAATTCTTCTTCTTCCAAGCCATTCAGTTCTAATATTGGTTGCTAAAAAAAAAACCTCGAAACAATGTAGTGCTATGCTACAATTATTATTTTGCAGGGGATTAAAAAACATCAGAAAAAAAAATCAGAATAAAATAATGCCACACTTACACAGCTGGCCAAGTCTTTTTAAAAGTAACAAAAGAGTGGAATTAGTTATGACAATTGTGCATAAAAAAACTCTTAATCCACACTTCTTGTCCAAATCATGCCCTTCATTTGCATGACTCATTAACAGCTTGCTTGCTGATAAGCGAAGTCAAAACAGCCTTAAGCCAAGAACCTTCTTAGCACCCTGAAAGAGTAAGACAGTGTAAGATGAGGAAGCTACACATGGACCTAACTTACTTTAAACATTACTGACTAACATACTTCTTTTTTATAGAGCACGAGAGTTTATACTGTTTCGTAACTGCAAGTACTCCAAACAACTCCAGCCCTCGCTTGTGCGTGAACAGGGCGTAACTTAAGTTTTCTAATTTTCCAAGCTTTGGGCAATAAGAAGTCAAAATCAAACAAAATACGAAGTTGCATAAAAGAAGCCGCTGACACAGTCCATATGCGTTAAAGAAGAAAAAAAATCAAGTAATTTTAAATCGTATAAACAACAGTTGGACATGGGCATTTAATCTGCTTAGGTCCTACTGAAAAATCCCAGCAGACATGTACATTTATCCTTTGAGAACATGATCCGGGCTGGCTGGAGGTAATCAATTCTTCCACTCTTTCTTAGATACAATTATTTTTTAAATATAAAACTTGTCTTGACCATGTGCCTTAAAACTTGACTCAAACCCAACTGCTGCATAAGGCAGAACAGGGAATTCACAGGGAGCTTGTGAAGAGTCTTTCCTTTATGTGAAATCACACATCCAGCAAAGCGGAAATCTTCTAATTCACATTAACCAGTTTCAGCAAGAACTTAAAGATGAATTACTAAGATACTCTGGACTTAGAAGCCTGTCAGTTTTGTACCACTCTTCATAGGTCAGTTGATAAAAAGAAGAAAATTAAACCCACACGCTTAAGGAAATATAATGTTTTAACTTCGGCAAGTCTCAGCAACTCTATCAGGACCATCCACACAAGTAGCCTTTCCCTTCTCTTCTCAGGCAAGAGGATGTCAGAGAAAATCCAAGACCAACATGACAAAAAACCACTGACGTACTTATCGTCATTTTGCCCCTTTGCCTTTTTTCAAGTAGACATCAGAGTTTCCCGAAGACTCATCAGAACAGAACAATTCTTGCAAGATGGATATATAATTACTAAATTAGCCCGACTACGTGGCAGTCTCAAATATAAAATGACAAACAACCTAATCTAAGGCAAAATTCTTCTGTAGATATGCCCTTCAGAGAGGACATCTGGTAAAACATCTTGCGAAGGGATGGATATGATAAATCAGATGCAGCGAAGTAATGTGAAAATGTAACTGGTGACGACTTTAGAGAAAACTGAAGAACATATGATAAAGACAAGATAAAGTGCGCTCCTGAGGCTGCCTGGAAAGAGGGTCAGAAAAAAAGCTGCTGCCTGGAACTCATTCTGCAGAACTGAAATACATTAATTTAGTGCCAAAATAAGCAGAGTCACAATTTACACATCTCTGTCCAATCAGTTTTCGTTCAAAAATACGATCTTTCCTATTTATGTCACAGAACCTCTTGCACAGTCTCAGAGAAGTGTAGCACTTAGGGACGGAGAAAAGTCTAATTTTACTTTGCCAATAAACACTTCTAACTTTTAATGTACTTACCACATCTCAGCTTTCTCCTACTTACAGAAGATGCTGGTTAGAATGAGCATTTACAAACCCAGAGAAAAATAACTCAACGCAAGGAAAAGCAAATGGAAATAATTTGCTCAAACATTTGGCGTATCTTAAGAAAAAAAAAATTCATGGAATTCTCAGAATTAAATACAAGCTAAAATTACACAGTAGTAGCTTCTCCTCTTGTCCTAGAACGGGCATTGTTCCACCTACAAAGGGCTGAATAGAACGTCTAGACAAACTCCCTCTCCAAAGCTTCTCCACAATGCAAAGGATGCTCAAAAAGGTCTGAAGACACTGCAAATGATGCCAGAATCTCACACCCAGTAATCCCCATATTCAATTACAGTATTTAAACTCTTTATAGGCAGAATTTCATCTTACTTATTCTTCTAAGCCTCAAAGGACAATACATTAACACCCTACTCCATTTGAAAAATCAAGCAGCTTCGCCAGTACCTGCGTCCTACCCCAGCTCCGTACGCGTCCTCGTCAGAAAGGAACGGACTCGACCAACAGGACTTGGATCATTCAATCATATTAAACACTAAAGCAATTTTGCTAATGCAATCTTACTGCTCAGACAGGGGATTTTTAAAGAAGCTTTAATAGCAGATTTGTACCAACTTCCCGCTCCCATTTTTTCTCTTCTTTCTCTCCTTCGTGACAGGGATTCATAATTCTTAGGGAGGTTTTCAAATTATATTTTTGATAGAAAATCGTTATTGCAAAAATAACAGCATCGAGGGGTATGTATCTGAATGTGCAACAGAACCAGCCAGTAAGACCAGACCTGACATCATACGCTCTCCAAGGCTGGCAACACTATAAATTGATATTTTTATTTGAATGTAATAGGATACTTTTTTTCTACATAGAGGCTAAAATAATACTGCCAAAGTCAAACCACAACAATTTCCTTCACGAACGTTAGCAAAGACTAAAATTAATTCAAAATGTTACACTCCAAACGAAGCCTTGTTACGAACATGCAGAAAAATCAACACTGGAATCAAGTAACAGAGATATTCCTCGAAAAAAGTCTCTGCCATTCTGCCAGTAAGTAAATCCTTTAGCCCGTATGACATGAACAACGCTGAGAACAGAGAGAAGACACTTTTGAAGCCAGTTAGAAAACACTGTTTTATAAGTGACTAATTAGTTATGCAAAATGTTAAACGAGAAGCTCCATACCAAAACATCAGGCTGACAAGGTAGAAATAATTCAGGAACCATCTTTGTAGATAAATGGCCTTGTAACATCTCTTTGATTCACACAAAGGCCCCCCAAAAGAGAGTAATACCGAAAAGTAATTCATTATAAATGTCTTTCAATTCCACACTGGACAGATGGCTTAGTTCTCTAATGTGACCTCTTTTTTTTATTTTTTTTTCATTTTTACTGGATTAGATCCAGCAATCCAATGTTAGTGTGATGTTTAACAGCTTAGACAAGATTTAAATAGCATTTATCCCACACAGTGTTTAACTCGCATGCTGTTCATTTTTTCCACTCAATGCAACAATTTAAAAATTAGAAATATAGGTATTATTAATAATTTCCTGAGGAGATCTTTCAGAAGAAAGACAATTTCACTAAATGATCTCAGGGAGATCGAGAAAAAGAGAGAGGGAAAAAATTACAAATTTGTAATATAAAAGAGCGTAATCTTTCCTAAACACTCAGAGGAAAACACCACATGCGAGATGAAGAGAAACTCTACAATTCTGTTGAATCTGTATTCATGATATTGTGGACAGTAACAGGGGAAACTCTCCACACATTCTCTCACTTACTAGCACACTATTTACTTGCTTCCAGGTTTTTTGGTGGGTTTTTTTTTGTTTTGTTTTGTTTTTTTTGCTTTCAGTTACTATTTCCAACACAGCTATTAATTTCTTTTCAGATGTCTGCTATTTCAGAAGCATGGGCTGGCCCTGCAGACTCCTGCTACCGTATGTGGTGTTTGCTAATGAAGGCACTCGTGCAAAGAGCTTCCCTGCACTCTTCTGAGACCGACGCAACAGCTATTTTTTGCAAAACCAGACTCAATGCGGAACTTAAAGCTTTTGGCAGGGGCCGGATTTTAAACAGCATAGATTTTTATAAAGAGCCTAAAGAGATTTCAGGCAACCTGATTAGAGAAATACTATATTTTAAAACATACAAGGTAGTCACAGTTCTAGTGTGATTTATTAATCAATGAATTAAAGTTTTAATTTGATTCAGCTACCTGCCGAGCAAGTCTCTGCAGGTAGCAAATTCAAGTTGATAGAAGGCTTTTCAGAAGCATCAATTAACAATAGTTATTAAACCAGTGACCTCTGCCAGCTTTTGTGAGATGACACTTCCTGCTTGGATAGGCAATGAAGAGCGTGAAAAGAAATTCAACAACTCTCACGCTGAGAATGTGACTTCAAGTCTCAAGACTCGATGAGACAGCTGGCACCATCCGTGACGTCTGTACAGCAATCCTGGAAGTCTCTGCCTCTTCGCCCAGATTCCACAGGGGATTTTTTTGGGGGGGTGTTTTTTTTATTGTTAATTCAGGCTCTTGATCTTTTTTTTGTAGAGCCTCTGTAAAAATGCTCGTTTCCTGGCTCAAGTAATGAAATCGCTTGTTTTGAGCAACTTCTCCAGCTATCAGCTTCCTTGCCAGGCTGTCTTCTCTTGCAGTTGTTAACACCGTCCTCTTGCCCTTTCTGAACAAAGTGCTTCAGCAGTTTCCTCTGTCCTCTCACCCCATTTCCAAGTTTCTCTTGGTGGAAGACTCCAGCCGGGCTCCTCCTGGCTCATCCCGTTTCCTTCTGTTCCCTTCTCATCTGCACACTACCTCAGTCTCTGCTACTCCTTCAATGCCTCTGTTCCCGCTGTGAAATCTTTATTCATGATATGTTATAAAGGAAAAATGATACCTCTTTCAAATAATTAATCGACTTCTAACTACCATGAAGTAAGATGAGGGCAGAAGGTGCAAACCTGAGTCTCTCGAGTTGTAGACAGTTCTTCGGTCTTGGGGCTACAACATACGATCAGCACGAGGGAGTTTCAGCACTGGAGTGTCTTGGTACAAATT